GTCTTGGCCCGCCGGAGAGCAGCCACCGCCACCCGAAGTCGTGGAAGGAAGATGAGATGGCAGATCAGCCGCCACCGCAGCCATGGGAGGCCATCAGGGAGGTCTTCCCGCGCCGAGCTCCGCCGTCCAGCTGCAAGGGCCCGACTGGACGGGGGAGCCCACCACCACCGCTGCTGTGCCCCCCTCCCCACAAGAGACCCACGGCGAGAGGGGCCGCCTGCGACCCGGTCGCACACGACCCGCAGCGCCAGAGGAGGCTCGCCGGTGCTCCACGTTCTACCTCCCGCACTGGATGGATCGCTAGCTACTTTTTCTTTTCTGTTGGCTAATTGCTATACCTGAGGAAGAAAAATAAAGCGGCCCATGGGGATCGAACCCAGAATGCACAGCCTCCGCACGCTTCGTTCAACCAACGAGCTACAGCATGTTAGTGGTTCAAGTTGAAAAACATAAGAACTGAACTTTTTAAATCTCGTAGCATCAAAATAAAAGCTGTGCTAATTCTTGATTTTTTTTGCTGGGAGCTGAAGTCAAACTTCAGACTCAAGAATTGTGACGAGGGACATGAGCCACATAGACTAAGCTGCTTGTTGTGATAAATTGTTGCGTGGTGGTACTTGTGTCAATTCCTAAAGCTCGACTAATGTTGTTTGTCTTGATTTTATGTATGTTTGCAGTTGAGTTAACTAGTTCGACAAAATGAAATCGTAATTTGCTGGGTCGGACGAGATTTTGCTCCAAATTTAGTGGTTCTTGCCATCTACTCCCGAGCATGGTAATATACGCAGTGCTTAGCTGGTAACTTAATTAGCTGAAACATGGTAACTTTTTGAGCCTGCTATTTTTTTTGTTGAAAAACACCTCCGGTAACTCATGTGTAAATAACTTGGTATATATGTATAGCAGACCTGATAACTTACTGAGCCTAGACGTGATAACTTTCTTGACCCGGGAAAAAAGTTCTTAAAAAGTATACATCCGGTAATTTATCGAACACCGTTGTAATTGTGACCCCAGATATTTGTTCTGCTCAAAATATACTCTCGATAACTCACGTACATATGAACGCCATGTTAACTTTGGAAAGTATGGAGAAATAGTTGATGAAATATAACCCTCCCCCCGGTATGTTTATTGTGAATAGCGGTAACTCACACATCACAGACCTGATAACTTATGTACCCCGTTGCTGCTAACTTTACCGACCCCCCCGAGGGGGGGGGGGGGTGTGTGATGAAATATCCTCTGGTAACTTTCCTGTGAATAACATGGTAACTCACATTTCATAGACCTGATAACTTGTGTGCCCCGGTCCTAGATACGTTGTCTATAACTTCGGCGAGGGTGAGGGTGGGGGAGTTGTTGAAACATACCATAGTAACTTCTGTGCAAATAACATGATAACTCAAACATTGCGGACTCGATAACTTATGTACCCCCGGTCCTGATGACTTGGTCGGCGAGGGTGGGGGTGGGGCAAGTCGCTGAAACATGCCACGGTAACTTATGTGCAAATAACATGATAACTCATACATAGTACACCTGATAACTTATGTACCCGATCCTGGTAAATGTGGCGACTGTGGCAAGGGGGGGGGACCCGGTAATTTCTATGTAAATAGCATGGTAATAGAGACATACAAAGTTCATAACTCCCATAGAAACGGCGAGCGTGAGAAGATAGCGCACCTATCGCTAACTATCGGGAGAAGTGGATCGGATTCGTGCGGATCTGTTGCTAACCACCAGTTGACTGGTGGTTAGCACAGTCCATTAAAAAATGCATTCTATGTTTTGGAGGTGTTGATGTCTCCTTCCTTGTGTATCCACCGGCGGGAGGTCGCGTGAGAGAACTCGTTCCCGCATCTGGGCCTCCATCTCAGGCCCGACTTCTCTGCAACAAACAACTCGAAATAATCCCTTGAACTCGCCAAAGAGTCACCTAACGCAACCATTGCCATGACCCTAACATCGCTGTCGCTGACCCGGCCATTGTTGCCACAGAAGCCCCGACACCACAAGTGTCTTCTTCAACAATTCTATCTTCCTGATGCCCCGCTTCAACAGCGATCCTCAGATTCCGATGTTTGCCATGACAAGACTTAACAGACGGCCAAGTATAGAATCAAGTTCTACCTGTCTAGAAGAAATCGTGTTCCAGGAGTCTGTGAGGATCCATAACATGGAGCGAGCATCGCAAACAGTTAGTCTTGCCGTCTGCAACACGTACTGTCATTTCGGAGCATCAACAACAACACTAGTCAAGCAATCCAGACAGTAAAGCCTCCTCGGGCAGTTAGCAATCCAGATAGTCTAGTCGGCAGCTGTCACCAAAGAATGTGCTTGGAGTTCGGCTCGTGTTTCGGCGGCAGAACGGACGACTACGGCGGCGAGCGGCTCAACCACAGGGAGGAGCACGGCGGCGGCCGTCGTGCTCGTGGCCACGACCGCAGAGGGAACCACGGCACCGGCACCGATGGCCACAAACCGGCGTACCACCACCAGCCGCCCACCGCAGTGGACGAGGCCCGGCACAAGGCCTACCACGACGGCTCGTGGAAAGCCAACCACGCTGGCGCTGGTGCCCGCGGCGGTTACGCCACCTATGCGCAACACAAGGCCGACACCGAGATGCCAAAGCTTCCCACGTGGCACAACAAGGTCGGTGACGGCGCCTATGCAGCGTGCCTCCGAGAAGCTGCTGATACTGATCGTAGGAACAACGCCGCCATGGATTACCACCAATATCCAACCAGCACCGCCTTTTCTACTACTACTCTTGGAAGGTACTAGCTAGAGGTAGTCAACGTTAGCTATGCGGCTATTACACCACTAGTCAAGGTTAGCTAGCATGGCAGTTCATCAATCCTTCCCTGTCCCTAAACACTTCCTCTGCTTCTCTCTGGTAGCTCTGTTTTTCCTCTGTTTTCTCATCCGCTGACATTGAAAAGGCACCTGGAAGAGCGTGTAAGAGCCGCGAACCAGGGGGCCTATATATTTTGATCAGAGCCTCCACGTATTTGTCGATGGATGAGCGTCACAAGTTCCAGCTCCAGGATGCTTTTACCACTCTGTTTCTGTAGTTGCTTCTACTAGTATAAAGTTGAGACACTTATTTTGAGACGGAGGAAGTACTACTTTCGCTGTGAAAGAAAGCATTGTGAGATCTCAAATGAGTCCCCATTTCTGCTTTCTTCTTGCTTTGCTGTCCTTTTTTTTCTTACCAGTCTGTTTGTGTAGTTGCTTGTGATTTAGTTGTAGCTGCTTTCGGCTTGTATTGTATATAATCAACTCAAAGAAAGCACTGTCAAATCTCAGATGAATCTTCATTTCTCCTCTTGCTATGTGCATGTGGTTTCTCTGACTTCTTTAGTTCAATCACTTCTCACTTGCCAAGCATGTTTTTGACTAGTTGGCACTTGGCAGCTCATCTACTGTTGCTACAGAACTCAGCACGATCTTCTACTCGATATGGAGTAGTTACTATTTAACTGACTGTTTACCAAAGATAATGACTGTTCACCCATTACATTTCGTCACTGGTGTGACATAATCAGTAACAAACATCTTATGTCATGGGGATGCACGAGAAAGCCGCTCATACGTCTATGCAACCATGCATTGGATTTTTTTTTGCGGGGTCATGCATTGGAATTTTGACAACAAGTTGGGGTTAAAAGCAGCCAGACACCCTAGATAGACAAATTTTCTGCAGGCAAATTAGAGAATAAAGTGACAGATGTAGATAACACAACTCACTCTACTATAGATAATGAATAATTCACTCTATCATGTTGTTGGTAGTATTTTTTAAAGGATGTCCTTGAAACAAAAAAATCTCAAATAAAAAGGATACTATCTCCCTTTCTTTTTCAGTCTGCTTTACGACAACTCTATCATGTTTACAGCTGCAATTTTATAGTTCTCAATAAGAAAAGTGCAGATCTGCCCATGAATCACATTTTCGATAGCATTTCCATTTTTAATGCATATACCTGTGATGGTGCAGTAGCATACCCAGAGAGCTACTCGCCTTTCTTGCAACTTATTTTTTCAGTCTGTTGCACCGTCTTTACCAATTATTGAAGAGGAACCAGAGGATGTAGAAAGTTATGCAGACGGTCACTAGTAGAAAAAGGGCCTATAGTCCCGGTTCTGGAACCGGGACTAAAGGGTCGTTACTAAAGCCTCCCCCTTTAGTCGCGGTTCTTACACGAACCGGGACTAAAGGGCCTCCACGTGGCCGCTGTCTGGAGGTCCACCTTTAGTCCCAGTTAGTAACACCAACCGGTACTAAAGGAAATTTTATTAATTTTTTTGAAAAAAATCAATTTTTTTGAATCTTTTTATTATTTTCAAATTTCTGAATTATTTTAACCTCTAATCTCTAATCATCCCTCATCATCCCAAATCATCTAACTTCCCGGACGGTCACGCATCCTCTCACTACTCCAGCCTGGTGCGTGCTACATAAGCGTATTTAACAACACCAAGGAATGCTTTTCAGCAAGATTAGCATAACACAGAATCACAGAGCAGGTTGCGGTAGCCCTCATGGTATAAAGTAGAAATTTCAGTGCTCTGGTGCCTTTACGGCTTTACCTCGCTGGCATCTTCGGTGGCGCCCACGGCAGCTTTGCCGGCATCTTTGCGGGCGTTTACCTCGGCCTCCGTTGGCTCTGCTTCGGCTCCATCACCTACTGGAGAGGTGGCCACCTCAGGGGCTGTCGTCGTGGCTCCTCAGCCCGCCGGCCCTGTCACCCGTTCCCACAAGGGCGTCCACAGGCCGAGTCTTCGACCCTCCACCCAGCTTCTCGAAGAATCTTGAACCCATATTTTTTTTACAATCCTAGTTAAACTAGGATTGTAAAAAAAATATGGGTTCAAGATTCTGGGAGAAGCTGGATGAAGGGTTGATTCTCAAGATTCTGGGAGAATTGGCCAAAAGAACTTGGCCCTAACCTCCCCGGTCAGCTCTACGTAGACTCATGACGATTTGAACCAGACCTTTGTTTCATACATCCACGTCCATCACCTTCGGCAACCGTTCTGCGACACGAAAGCTAAGTGGGTGACTGTCCCCTATGATTCATTGACCAATAAATTTTCAAAAAAATTATGTGAAAATCCGGGTTGTCGGTCAGGTGGAACTTCTAAGGACAAAACTACTCAACGATAATGTCTAAGCTCGGTAGTTTCGTGGAAGTCCTCTACTGTAGAATAGTGTTTCATTGAGGCCCTGTACAATGCAATGTGCTTATGGGAGGTGCTTAGAGAAATAAACCAGATTTTTCTTAAGCACCCGTGCTTATTTGTACAGAATAGACGCTTAACTGAGTGTCTCTCCTGTAGAAATATGCACTGGTGCTTCAGAAAAACTCGGTTTATTTTTCTAAGCACCTCCTTAAGCATCTCCCATTGTACAAGGCCTGATGGTTCATTATTGACGGCTTGTCAAAATAGATAGTGATTGGACTTACGATGAGTGAAGGTTTAAAATGGGTGCCGCATATACATAGAACTTTTTTGATGGCCAAGGTCATGTGCGGTACCCAACATTGCCCACTATATAACCCACCAGTTCACCTAAATCCCCTACCCAGCAGGGTTCCACACACCACCACCCAACATCTCGTCCAATGCCTCCATATGGTACTTGGGGGTCGAAATCTAGACTGATTTGTCTGATCTTCCTAGTGGATCAATCATAATGTAGTATTTCAAGAAGCTTCATGAAATGCCATTGTATTTCTTTTTCATAGGACTAGGAGGCACGGGGAAGTCAGTGGTGCATAAGGAATGGGTAACATTAGCAAGTCCAAACTTGGTTACTTGAAGCCTTTGTGAGAGTGACACCCCACATGTCTTACTGTTTGGCTAATGATTAATCTATAAAAACCCTGAGCAAGTGAAAAATTAGTACAACTCATCTTTATGAACTATTCAAAGAAACTAGTACTATATCGCATGGCCACAGTTGGTAGGTAAGCCTTCCAGGTGTATCAAATCACTTACTCTACTCTACTCTACCGTTACAAAATCCAGGCAATATTATTTGCCTAACCTCCCTAGGTAATAAAGTCAATATGTTGTTTTTCCTCATGAATTTTGTAATGTTGCTTTTCCTATTGAAAATTAGAAAAATAGTATTATCAACCATACTTCTTATCGTATAATTATGAAAAACCTAGGTATTCAAAGCGAGAGAAAGACGATCTTTGGCAAAAATTTAAATTATGCAGGGGATAAGCTATACCAAAGAAAATGACGAGTTAACGGCATAAACATAAGACATGCAACTGGCATTTCTAACGCTTATCATTAATAGGTTGGCCCGATAAAATATAAAACATTGAATAAAAACTATAAGAAATAGCATTATGAAGATTACTTCATAAATTATAGATTCGAATATGCATATCAGCATGTGTGGCCTAGAGGATGTGGTGGCGACATGCTTTGGATTGATGTGTTTATTGTGTAATCGTTTCTTTCTCCTATGTTTTTGCGGGGAAGATAGCACGCGTACCGGAAGTGTGGAGCCTTACAGCTTGATTGGCTCCACACAGTGCTCCATCCCCACACAACCACTATGAGATCGGCTCACCACACCTACGATGGCGTTTACAGTGAAGTCGCATAAGGTGGTGTATGTCGATACACGGTGTCGCGTCGGCGCTTTAAGTGTTTCCGTGGTTGTAGTTTTATTTCAACTATGTATGTTTTCAAGGGCAGAGATAGGATAGTAAACATTCTTCAGGTTGCGTCTTATAGATACGATGATAACACTAACAAGCAGCGAACCAATCCGTGATTGGATGATTAGGAGGACAGTGGTATCCCCAACCCACCCAGGGTTCGAGTCTTTCCCGTAAAATAAGTCTTACCTTGTCGGTAAAAACATTAATTTCTATTATCAGTGAAAACTATTTTTTTGGATAAAACTTTTGGGCTATTCATTTTTAATCATGGAGGTACAATGAAGAATCATAAATAATAAAAGTTACATCTAGATTCATAGACAACCTAGCGACGATTACAAGCACTGAAGCGAATCGAAGGCGCGGCGCCGTTATCACCCCTCCTTCGCCGGAGTCGGGCCCAACTTGTTGTAGTAGATGGTTGGAAAGTCGTCATGCTAAGACCCCATAGGACCAGCGCACCAGAACTGCAACCGCCGCTGATGAAAGAATAACATAGATCGAAAGGATCCAACCCAAAGACACATGATCATACATGAACAGCAACCAGATCCGAGCAAATCCACCGAAGACACACCTCCACACGCCGTCTAGACGCATCACCAGAATGGGAGCTAGGCAGGGAGACCTTTATTTCATCTTCATGGAGCCGCCGCCGCCTCGCCTTCCTGAGTAGGAAATAAACCCTAACAGAACTCGAAGGAACGACTAGCAACGGAGCCCTCCTGCCGGTTTTTTTTAGAACGAAGGCTCAAGAAGATCCCGACTTTTTGAATTAACAAAGCCATCAACCGGCCAGGGATTACAAAAGGGCACCAATACAACCAACTGAAAACAGAAAAGAAAATAAACTGCAGGTACACGGTGATGCCGAAGCAGCTTACAAGCACCAAAAACTACACGCCCTGTAGAAGTAAACATAATAAGCACTAGCATGTAGTCAACGGAGTCCTCCAAGTGAACTTTAGTCAGTAGGACAAACAGAGGGGAACTTCGGGCGGAGCCATTGCCCAACGTCGATGGACCGAGCCCTCATCTACCCTGGAAGGTGCACTTCGAAACCATGCCTCTCCTCTCCAAATCCGGAGGGGA